TGGGGTTTAGGTAAAAGGGGGCGGGGGCGGCATAGAGGCCCTTTCTCTTCCCCCTTGGAGAAACTTGAGCGACGGAGCAGGAGATAGGCTTCGGGGGTAGATGAGCAGCTTTGGGGTGATACTGGTGAAGGAATAGAACTTTGAGATGAAGCAGACGGAAGAATAGGTAAGATTTAGGGTGAAGTTTGGTGGGGGTTGAATTTAGGGGAGAGGGTGCTCAGAAGGTCAAGGCCCTTATCTCCAGGTAGGGTTCCCGTGAATTGGGGAGCTGGTTGGAGACCTAGAACTCAGGTTACAAAAGTTAGGACTTGGAACCTGGTGATGGGAAGGGGCACGTGAGGCAAGTTTGGGGCAACTGGGAGTCAAAACAGCCTGTGCCCCTGGGCTGGGGTTTGGGTAAGGGGATGGAGGAGTGAGGACTGTGGGAAGGTGGGGTGGGGTCAAGAGCCTGTTGAAATTCAGAGAGCTGTTGGCCCCCTATGAGCCAGCCCCTCAACCCCTCATGGGTTCTTTGTGCTTCTCCAGCTCAGTAGCACGGCGGGCAAGGCGGGTGCCATGGCCCTGATTGAAGGGGTGGGTGATGAGGTGACTGTCCTTTTCGCGGTGCTTGCCTGCCTTCTGGTGCTGGCTCTGGCCTGGGTCTCAACACACACATCGGAGAGCGCTGACCCGCTGCCCCAGCCATCAGGGACCCCAACACCAGCACAGCCCAGTGAAGCCATGGCGGTCACCGACAGCGTCACAGGGGAGGCCCCCGGAGCTGAGGCCCCCAGCCTGAGACACAGAGGTCAGGCTGCACACCCAGAGCTTGGCCCAGGGCTCCCAGCAACGCCACCACCCCCGGACTCCCCCCAGGAGCCTCTAGTGCTACGGCTGAAATTCCTCAACGATTCAGAGCAGGTCGCTAGGGCCTGGCCCCACGACACCATTGGCTCCCTGAAAAGGTAAGCTGGGCTGAGGAGAGGAACCAAGTGCTGAGGAGTGGGCGGGAGTGATCACGGACCTGGAAGGGCCACGGGAGACACTTGAGACTTCCCCCTCATCTTATAGATGTGGGAACTCAGATGCCCAAATCACACACTGTACTGTTCCCCTGTAGCAGGAGGGAACCCCCTGGGGGGCCATGACCGGGGTGCGTGGTGGGTGTGTGGAGGGCAGAGGTGAGGGGTGGGAGTGTTATTCTGGGCAAGGGACTAGGATTGCCTGAGGCCTGCTCTATTACCCAGGTCCCTCTCTCCTCAGGACCCAGTTTCCCGGCCGGGAGCAGCAGGTACGGCTCATCTACCAAGGACAACTGCTGGGAGACGACACCCAGACCCTGGGCAGCCTTCACCTCCCTCCCAACTGCGTTCTCCACTGCCACGTGTCCACGCGGGTCGGTCCCCCACATCCCCCCTGCCCACCGGGGTCAGAGCCAGGCCCCTCCGGGCTGGAGATAGGCAGCCTGCTGCTCCCGCTGCTGCTCCTGCTGCTGCTGCTGCTCTGGTACTGCCAGATCCAGTACCGGCCGTTCTTCCCTCTGACTGCCACCCTGGGTCTGGCCGGCTTCACCCTGCTCCTCAGTCTCCTGGCTTTTGCCATGTACCGCCCGTAGTGCCTCCACGGGCTCTGGGCAGCGTGGCCGGCCCTGCAGGACCTCGCTCCTCGCCACACCGAGGAAGCTGCTGTCTGCCCAGGCCCACCTCTGTGGCCTGCCTGTTCCAGCTGCCCTGGAGCCCAGCCCCGCGCAGCAGAGCTCTCCGGGGGCAGGTGGAGGCCCCTCCCTGTGACCTCCATGGCTCTGAGCCACCTCTTGGGGCTGCAGGCCCTCAGCCGCCACTGACAGTGGGCTCCTCCGGGTCAGCCAGCTGCTGTCGCTGCATTGGCGCTGGGCAGAGCGGGGCCACTCCCCTGGGCCCGGCTTAATGTTCTGCCTGACGACCCAGCCACCTGGAGTCCCCTAATTGCTGCTTGTGCTTATTGGGGGACCCAAGGACCGTGGAAGGGTGGGAGGGGCCGAGGGAGTTCTCTGGCACTTTGTGCAGATTAAATAACTGTGACGTTTTCACTTCTGGTGTGTGTCTGAGCGTGGGGGGACCCACTGGAAGAAAAGGTGTGATGGGGACGGACTGGGGCCCGGGCACTGCGCTCACCTTTCCTCCGCCTGCGAGCGGGGCTCC